CCCCTCGCACCACCCTTGTAAATAAAGCGAACTTTTCTGAGGGCGAGCTCGGAGCGAACATGGCTTTATTTTGGGGGTGGAGGGGGGACAGGACAACCGCTGTCCCCCTTGGGGGGCGCTGGTGAGAGCGGGAGGGAGGGGACAGCGAGTGACGGGGGTGGGGGGGGGACAGGACATGAACACGGGGCTGGCTTCCCTGGGCCTGTTTACATCCAAAAATCAGAGCGGAAAAGTTTCAGGCGTTCCTGGCTCTCGCCCCTGTTTCTAGTTTCCTACGGAAAAGTCGTTTAATTATCGCTGCGAGGGACAGCGGGGAGGGCAAAGAGCGAGCCATCCATCCTGCAGCCGTGTACCGTGTCCCCCCACCTCCCCAGTAAGGCACACAATCACAGCAGGGTGGCACTTCGGCCATGAGCTGCTGATTGCGCACACACACACCCCCCGTGCCAGTTTTCTACTGGAATGAGAGCGTTTTCATGGCTGCCTTGTGTTTCTGACAGCAGGGTTTTATTCCTGTTTTACCAACTACAGCAGGGGGAGAAATGTCTAGAAAGAGATTTAAAGGGGCCTCTGCACACCCAGAACTGCAGATGAACCAAGGTCTCCAGAGACGGAGATCTATAACTTTCTGGTTTATACCCACCGTGGAGGGAGCTGATGAGATAAACATGAAGCTCCCCGAATCCCTAAGGAGTAGAACCAGGAGGCGTGGATTCAAGGGAGGAGGAGATTGGCTTGAAACAGTTAAAAGTTACTTTGCACAACAGGTAATGCATTCCTGGAACTTGCTGCTGCAAGAGAAGATAGGGGCAAATTGTATCAACTGGTCTGAAACAGGATTAGACAAATTAGTGAGGCCAAGTCCACAAACAGAGCACCCATATCTCTGCTGGGGGAGTAAGAATATGGAGGGGACTGGGGAAGTGGGGGGGTCACTGGTGGTATCCCCACACAGACCTGCCCGAGACAGAACCTGTGCTGGATGAGCCACAGGTCTCATCCAGGGCCTTTCTTACCCGCTTCACCCCAATCACGGCGTAGCTATAGGACCCTTGGAGCTGCACAGTCATCTTTGAATCATTTTCCAGTGTACTCCTTTGCCCTTCAGCTCCCTACCACGTGCCTTGTGCTTTACCACCATGTAAAGACATGGTGTACGAAGTTTGTAGAGTTGGGAAAGCTGTGTGCACTAGAGGAGGGGCAGCCTGTGGAATCGAAGTACATCTGCACCGATATGTCAGAAAAATGAATGCAAGGCACGATGCTGAGCTGCAGACAATGCCCTTTGCAATTACAGACACAGAGACAGGAGTTAATCATTATCCTTACAAAGGAAACCATAATCTAAGGCAAAATATTTGAGATTTCTAGTACCTCAGTTGCAATCCTATAAACTATAATGTCCAGATACACCATTTTCTTCCCCTTTACTAATAAACAAAGCTGCTGAACACCTGAAGACTAACATCACATTTAATTTTTATATTTTTTTAAATAGCCATGTGGTCTATACATATAAACTACAGGCAATACAGTCAATTTGTGAGGTGTAAAACATGCACTTACTGGCAACAGCAGGTTAGTATTAGAACCATGCCTATATTGGGAATTTTACTCAATGGGAAGCCATTCTAGAAGAGAGGTACAGGGATAAACCTCTCATGCTGGTAAAAGACACCTAAGTTTGCACCCAGGAAAACTGCCAAGATTTGGTCTTCAGCAAGCTTGTATTTTATTAATGAATCTTGAGCTGCAGTAACATGTTAAATTAATGGTTTGAATGCATGTTTTCTTTTTTCCCTGTCTTGCTATTCAAACAGGCATGACAAAAACTCACTTATGAACACTTACTTGAAACTTGGCCTTCATTCTGTAGCACTGCTGGGAAATTTGCATCATAATATGTATCTGCTTGAACACAAGCAAACTAAAGCAGGACTGTAAATTAATAGAACGGCATAGGGAAATAATTACAGGTCACTTACTGCTTGACAGAATTATAGAGAGACCTCGCATTTGGAAAGTGAGCTCTATGTTCTCACCAGAGTGATCTGCCAGGAAGGATCCATCCAATTTGAAGCCCCAGATGTTCATTATGGTGCCTTAGCCTTCCCCCCTGCTCTCAACGTGTCCTTCTCTATCGACTTCTTGCAACACCCACCACCGATTCAGACTGCAGGGCCCTGTCCTTCACAAGAGCATCAGACACTACTTCAGTCTGTTCAGCAGCCTGAGGGAGGGAAAGAAAAATGACACAAATGGGATTCTCCCTTTCTCCTTTGAGTCAGTACAGAACCGAAACGTAGATGTGTGTGGCCACACACCAAGCAAAGCTGATACCTCACTTTTGGTGAGGAACCCTTATGTATTGCCCTTCATCTCCATGCTCTCCTACTCACTTTCTCACTGCCTCATTGCACTTACAGACTTATCCTCGTCTCATCAGCAAGCCCCAATTCTCTTAGAGACCTTTTCTTAGTGTGTTACTTGTATTACTTAGCTCTGGCTTAGTCATATATATTTTTTTTTTTTTCCGTTTTCTTCCTTTATCACTTGAATTACAGTTTTCTTAAGTATTTGGAAAGTACCTGCCTTGTAATGGATGCAACCACAAATAACACCTTAGTAGTAAGGTCAAAAGCACTTTACAAAGCTGAAATTCAAAACATAACAAAGTTAGTCAACATCAAAGCCGGGAAAAGAAACCAAAAGCTCTTTCTTCAGAAGATTACTGCGCAAGCCACCAGCCAAGAAATTCGCTCATTTTCTCAAACTTCACAATGGCAAATTTTACACATAAATCATCTGCTTCTGAGTATTTCTTGTGCCCC